TTTTAAAAATTTGGAAAAAGAAAAAGAACAGAAAATTTATAGACATTTTAATTTGAATTGAAGTTTTAAAAAAGTGCCAATTTTAGAAATCAAAATTGACGCGTGTAGGTTAACAAAGATTTTATACATACATACAATTGGAAAGACTGGTGATTTTAAATTTTAAACTACGGGCAGTGTAGCAGCTACGTAAGAATACACACCTGATGATGGCCATTTAGGGCCGAAACATGTAGTGTGGAGGAGGGAAAGAAGAAAGTACTACAATTAAATTGTTGCACTTAAGATGGAGTTTGTCTAATATGTATTCTGTTGGGCCCAATCAATAGAGGTAGTCCCTACCTTCAGACAACAGTCAAGAAAATTTATCACTGTATTAATATACCATCATCATAAAATTTAAGATCTTATTAACTTAATATAGTTTACATAAACCTTGTTTAACCTAATATTATTAAATAACTGTCCTCTAATAGTTGACTTCTTTAAATTTTGCCTGGTGACAAGAACAGAGCTGAGGATCCACCAGAGTGACTGACTGCGGTCTGGGTCAGTAACTTGATGAACGAGTTAACCTATAAACTATCATGCTACAATATGCAGTCAGATCTAATCACTCACTGCCATTGTCATGAAGAAGCTTCACATAATCAAACAACTGGACTTTAAAGTTGTTATCTGCAAGGGGCTGTCTAATGGAAGGTTTTGCAAGTGTAGGTTTTAGGTCCTCACTTACACCATTATTTTATGGTATTACAGCAAAAATCTGCTGAATTTTAATTTTTTAAGATTTACAAATGAGATTTATTGTTAAAGCATCTGTCTTTCCAAATTTCAACATTCCATAATGAATCTAACAATTTTACAACTAAAAGATAAATACCACAGCCTGTGACAGCATCCCATATTTTCTTCATGATACTGTTTATAAATGAAATTTGCACATGAACATGTTTTGAAACCTTTTACACTCCTTACTTTAGGTCACTGTTGACAAAACTGTGAAAATTTGGTCAAAACTGAAGCTTCCTGTCTCAAGTAATGAGGAAGTACCATATATTAAAAAAAGCAGAATATATAGCACTTATATATTCATTTTTGAACAAATACTCTCTTTCAATCTAGAGACTGGTATAGTACATAGTAAGCCAAAATAACAACCACACCAGATTTCTCAGGCGTTACTTGGATTAATTCATGATGAAAAAAAGGGTATCACCAGCACATGAATATGTTTGTACTGACACCATGAAAAAAGCACAGTAAAAATATTCATCTATTTGCATGGGGAAATTAAGAAAAGTGTTGAGTTAAATACTCATTGCCAGTATAGCAATCCTATCTAAGAATATTTAATAATAGTTTTCCTTATAAAAAGTTCGCATCAACCCATTCAAGTCAACCCTGGCTAACAATAGGTATCAAGGTGTCATGTGCCCGTAAAAGAGAGCTCTACTTATTTATTAGAAATAAAGATGATTTAGAATTATGAAGGTACTACAGGAAATATTGTAAAGTATTGTCAAAGGTTATAAAGTTAGCAAAACAACGATACTATAAAAATTTGATCTCAAATTCTAAAAATAAAATTAAAACTTCTTGGAATATCATCAGATCCATAACTAATACAAATCCAGAAAAAAATCCAATGTCAACAATAAAAATTGAAGGTAAATTATGTAATAATTTTCAAATTATGACGAATTTTATTAACAATTATTTTGCATCTCCATTACCACAAATGAAAAGTAGTATGTCTACTAACGGGCATGAAGCCCTCAAATTTCTTTCTGACGTATTCAAACATCCTTTTCCAAATATACATATGACACCCGCAACCAACAAAGAAATTAAAGATATAATAAAATCATTAAAATTGAAATATTCATATGGATATGATGAGATTCCCCAGCATATCCTTAAAATAAGTTTACCGTTTATTCTGTCACCTTTAACTTACATGTGTAACAAGTCACTAAGTCTTGGTGTATTCCCTACAAGGCTAAAGTATTCCGAAATAAAACCCATATTTAAAAAAGGTGACAGAACTGATGTGGCAAACTATAGGCCAATATCTCTATTGACATCTTTTTCTAAAATTTTTGAAAAAGTTATATATAATAGACTTCAACATCATCTCGACATAAATAAAATCCTGGCGCATGAACAACATGGATTTCGTACTAAATTGTCCACGGATACAGCCACTCATGACTTAATAAATACTATTCTATCAGCATTAAATAACAAACTAGTTGTAGGAGGTTTGTTTTGCGATTTGACTAAGGCTTTCGATTGTGTAAATCATGAAATACTACTTGCAAAACTGGAGTTTTATGGTATCAATGGTTTAGCAGGAAAGTTGCTCAAAGACTATTTGACTGATAGGCAGCAAAGAACAATATTGAATAATAACACTGAAAGTGGTGTTTCTAAATGGCAAAAGGTTAAACAGGGTGTCCCTCAGGGTTCTATCCTGGGGCCATTGCTCTTTTTAGTATATATTAATGATTTACCATATATAATAAATAAAGTGTCAAAGCCAGTTTTATTTGCGGATGATACCAGCATATTGTGTTGCAAGTCGAACTACAATGAACTTGTTATTACTTTAAAAGAAATTCTTGAATTAATTAATGTATGGTTTTCTATTAATTCGTTAACTTTGAATCTGACAAAAACAAATTGTGTCCAGTTTTCATCAAAACCTAATTTACCAATAGATATCAATATAAACCATGGGGATATCCAAATTAATAACACGAGTACACTGAAATTTCTTGGAATAACAATTGACAGTACTTTATCATGGAAAGAACACATCAAATATACAGCCAGCAAATTAAGCTCGGCTAGCTATGCCATCAGAATCCTAACTTCAGTTATGTCCCTAGAAAGCCTATTGATGACTTATTATGCCTATGCCCATTCTATCATGTCATATGGTATAATATTCTGGGGTAATTCAACTAATAGTGACCAAATTTTCATAATTCAAAAAAGAATAGTTAGAATAATAATGAGAGCGGGTAACAGGGACTCTTGTCGACCAATTTTCAAAGCATTAAACATTCTTCCATTCTATTCACAATATATTTTCTCAATATCTGTTTTTGTGGTTAAGAATATGGACAAGTTTGTAACAAATTCAGATATTCATGGCATGCACACTAGACGGGGTTTAGATTTACATTATCCAACCTGTAAACTGACTAAAGTGCAAAAGGGAGTGTTTTATAGTGGGATTAGGATATTTAACAACTTGCCATGTAGAATTAAAAGCTTGTCAGAGGACATTAAGAAATTCAAATATTCCCTAAAAAAATTTTTGCAGGTGGGCTCTTTTTATTCCTTACATGAGTATTATGAATGGAAATCAAGGAATGATTGTGCTTCCTATAGATAAAGATTGCGCCTATTATTTGTCACATCTAGAATATAATATTATCTGTCTGTTTTTGTTTATAATTGTTGTGAATGGCACCTGATTTTTGACGTTGTTTGTTTCGGTGTCGTGTCTGTGATTTGGTTTGATGTGTTACTTGTTTGTGTTCTACAACTGTTAATGTACTACAATTATATGTGGCCTTTTTAAATGTCTTGGATATTTAATTTTTAACAATTTATCATTTTAAATGTACTTTTTATTGACATGTTCTATATCTCAAGGCAGCACTGCCAATTGTAGATCTCTGGAACGAAATAAATATGTATGTATGTAGCAATTATCAAATAAAATCAATTGTATGCTACCTTATAAAACCTTTTAAACAACGAGACCTGCCTGTCATTTAACATAGGCATATACAAAACTTCAGTCATGTTTCATATACATATGTTAAACATATTGTATTACACACACACACAAACTTAATAAAATAAACTAAACTAAATATATATACACATCATGACTACTTGTATTAACATTGCTTATTATGTTTAAAGTTTTGATATTTTATTTACAGTTCTAGACTTAATAATGACCTATAGCATTTTACATTACAGAAATGTTCTGTTATTTTGTAACTTTGGATAAAGATATAATAATAACTTATTTTTAAACATGATGATAGATTTTTATTAATTTAGGCTGCTGTTATTTCAGGCCAAAGATCAGAAATCTAATAACAAATTTCAAACTTCTTTGGAAGCAAAGTTGGAGCAAGATCTGTCTACTACACCAAAGAGAAAAGGTTCAATAGATGTCCACATTGTGGAATCGCAAACAAATCCCTCCACTGAGGCCACAACAGTCAAAACAGAAGGTGAGCCTTCTTGTTCATAAAGTGTGATGTATCTAAAAATTATGTTAGTGATTCTGAATTTTATATTTACTGACTCATTTTATGAATATGGAAAATGATAGGCCCAAACTGTGGATCAGATTTCACACTAAGCTGCATGTCTCCTACATCATTAGGCATTTTTGCAAGAACTACGGAGACCAGCCATTAGCTCCATCATGACTGTGTATCTGTCTATCTGTCCATCTTCTCAGCCATCTGTCTGTTCACATGAAACAACTCAGTTCTCACTATTTTGAATTGTTTCATTTTGGTCCGTTACACTATCAATCACTAATTGTCAATAGATTTTCCGTCAAGTGCAACAATGTATATTTTGATCACTTAATTATCTCATCTGCCTTACATGTTTCGGTTCCAAGGAACCATCTTCAGAGGCACTTATAACAAACCATGAAAACACTGGCACAGCTCCACATTCACAATATGTAATTATTCGTGGAAACTATTACATATAACGGAGTGTAAAGCACAACACTTCCCAGTATCTTGAATGCAGGTATAGCACTTGCATCTAAAGGACCACCCTCAAAACCGAGTGCAGTACGCAACGCACACCGCGTAAGATACACCCGACCACAAGCCTACACAACTCTGTGCTGACGCCTCCCCCCATTGGGACGATTCACCAAGAAGGAGCCTGAATAATATTTTACTTGAACGTTTTTTAATTTTTTAACTTTAAATTTTAACGTTGACGACTCGGTTTTGAGGGTGGTCCTTTAGATGCAAGTGCTATACCTGCATTCAAGATACTGGGAAGTGTTGTGCTTTACACTCCGTTATATGTAATAGTTTCCATGAATAATTACATATTGTGAATGTTGAGCTGTGCCAGTGTTTTCATGGTTTGTTATAAGTGCCTCTGAAGATGGTTCCTTGGAACCGAAACATGTAAGGCAGATGAGATAATTAAGTGATCAAAATATACATTGTTGCACTTGACAGAAAATCTATTGACAATTAGTCAGTTCTCACTGGTTGGATTTTGTTACAACAGATTTATGTTTGGGAATTTTAATAAACTGTCATGTCTCTCCAGTAACATCTGGTCAGAATCCTCTGTATGGCCATATTTTCTAACTTACAGACTACATTTTGCACAGCCCTAATACAAAGAGATATTTTATATTCTATTTCATCTAAATAACATGATTTCCTACCTACAACTATTTCAACTAGACAACTATTTCAGTGGATGGGTTAGATTAAGGAATAATCATCATCAGCAGCAGCCACAGCTTTGCATGACTGGACTTAATTATGTGCTCATAAATTCTCTCCAGCTTTCTCCAGGCATCCAGGATCATTTGTGTTCCAGTGTTTGCTTTTGTATTTTACTTCTCTTTATTCTGAATTTCCTGTAGCCATTTCATTTAGCAGTATTCAAATTCACTGATAAAATCTGAAGTAAGATTTGAGGTTCTCACAGTGAGATGTAATGTTTTGTAGTCTGTTGAAAGTCAACTGATATTTCAGAGGAACATGTCGTTTCCATCTTTACTTGGATTACTCGTAAACCCTGAAGAGGGGGAGGTGAAATGTTCCCCCAACATGTCACTTGACTTTCAGTAGACTAGATGGGATTATATCCCAGAAGATAGAACTCTTCAATATTTGGAACAATTAATTTATTTTTATGCATATATTTTGTTCATGATCAAACCTTTTAGTATCAAATACAGGGCACAGAAACATCACCGGTGTTGCTTCCAGTCTTAAAATGTCTCTTTTCTTAAATATAGTATTCAGGCCTCATTACCATATCTGAAACTTGTCTTGGCTGTGACGTTATATATTCTTATTTTCATCATAGAATTGTAGCATTATATGTTTATCTGTTCTGTAGTTTGTGATAAGTTATCCTAAATATTTACTCTCTGTGGGGTTAGTACTAATAAATACAGATAAGAGAAACTACAGAGCATAGTAATATGTAAATACTTAAAAAATTTTGATATGGTCTCTGGAAATAAAGCTAACCTCAAAAAAACTGTCTGTGTGATTTTTCTGTTTGCTTTTAGATTCTTTAAGAGTACTTAGTCAGTTATACATTTATGAAACACTGAGTGGGAAGATGAACTGTGAAGACAATTGAAGGAAGAAATCGTCACTTATTTTACAGCATCATCTCAGCATTAGTCTGAAGAGTTAGAAAAATAAAGATAAACCTTAGTCAAGACAGCCAGCCCTTGGGCTGGGAATCAAACCACGACTTTTAAAATACAGAGCAGAAGTTCTAACCATTCATCTGCACCAATCGGTCAAAAGTGTGATGCTAACCGCTCATATCAGTTCACTTCCGAGTCCTATAATGTGCCAAGCTTCATCTGTATGCCAACTACACAATTCACATACAAATTCCAAGCATCTTTCTGTTTTGACTTTATGAAAGCTTTGTGGACTCTTGAGCCATTTTGTTTTATACTGGGCCACAGGACATATCTAATTACCTGATGTGTTTTTTGCAGTGACCAAGGTTTCCCATGAGCATAGTTCTCACCTCAAGAAGACTCATAAAGTTGCGGTGAACATGGATGAAGTCAAATTAAGTGAGAATAGTGCAGAAGAAGAAGAACCAGGGAGACCTAGTGGTGCAATTCTCTCTCTCGCTTTAGGTAAACGGTATTCTCTGAATGTTTAGTTATTCAAAATCAAAGTTTCCAATGCATACCCATAAAAACAAAGACTGACTTGATGGTCTGTACAAAGTCATTCATTTATCATGATTGATTTGGTTATTTAATGTATGTTTAGCAAAGGGACCAAATATGAGAGGTCAACCATTAGAACAAATATATACTTCGCTAACAAGAGTTAAGGAAGATGATGGGTTTAGTGTTGGAAAGTTCTTGAGTAGCTGCACAACTGGCAGCTTCTCAAGAAAGGCTCAGGTCTGTGAAGTTAGTTAATATGACGAATTCATTGCAATTCATAACCTTGGCTAGGGTGTCTTTAGTTTTATCACATTTTTACAAATTAAATAAGTAATATACCTCCATAAAAGAAAGTTCATAACTTCTTTAAAATTATGCACATTTTTGTAAGGCAAAACCTAAAGAAAACCTGACAACTGTAAGTTGATTCAAATAATAATTTTAGCACAAAACTTAATAAGAGAACCCCTAAGTACATAAGTACTTACGTAGCCTTTACGCACAGACGTGCAATGTCATTACCATCACATTTCTTGCTAACAGCTACACTGGAATTGCACAGTAAAAACACACATTTATCATTAATAGGGATGAAAAGGAAACCTTACAGACAAATGTTTATCTACATGGACTTCTCCAGATGCTGAAAATCTAATAATGAAAATTTTTCACAGATATTAACAGATTTCTATAATTCTTAATTCATATGTTTTGATAGCCTCCCTACTCAGATGGAAGCATTTAAAGAAAATCAGGTGTCATTATTTATTCCATGATATTATTGTTGTTTGTTTATTGATCTGTTTAATAATGCTCCTCTATTGCATGTCATTTGGTGTCAAATGTTAGAGTGATTATGAATCAGGAATTGGAAGGTAGTGCTGTGGCTTATTTCGAGCTACTAACTGGAGGAAGTGTGGAAAACCATGAAAAATTGTAACTTTTATGATTTTATTTACATGAAAAATCTGTTAGGCCAAGATCACATTAAAAATAAGCAGCAGAATGCTACTTACTACATCATAACATCTAACTTCAAGATTATGGTCTTACTGGGTGTGAGACAAGTGCTAATACTTCAGAGGCACCTGCTCCCTCCATCTTCAGCAGCATCTTCCTCTGAAATGTTGGTACATATCCATTATACTATGCAGCGTTACATCCCAAAAGACAATAATTTTCACACCTACTGCCTTGAGAACCTCAGATCTCATATTTGACCTAAGTTTTTTCTACTCTCACTTTGTACTGACACATGTCTGTCTATTGCAGCTCTGTTCACCACACATTCCAGACAGACTGCGCATAGAATACCAAATACAACAATGAGAATGAGTTTTCTCTTTGCAGGCTTATGCATTACGGGCATTATGGCAGTGCTGGTGGGCTGCAGGTTACGTGTGGTCAGGAGGAGACTACGGCGTGGTGGAAAATCTCCATATGCACATGATGCTGACTACTTGGTTAATGGGATGTACTTATAGTGTGTGTTTATATATGCTGCAGTCACTGCTGAAACCAAAGACTTTGTGGTGGAAAAAGAATTTACTGACATTTGTTTATCAAAACTGAAGACTGTATGTAGAAGGTATAAAAATTACAGTGTTCAGTATTTATGAAAGTGATATTTATGTGTTTTAGAAACAGAAAAATATGCTGTTTAATGTAATTTATATTATACATAATCTTATAATGTATTTTTATTTTTTTATTCTAAAACTTTAATTTTGTAATATAACTTTTATATAATATCCTTCCCTCAAGGTTAGGTCTATATATGGATGAAATTATTGGGTTTCGACATAACAAATCAACTGATGATCAGAATTTTTGTATTCATTGATACTGGGGGGGGGAATGGGAGTACAATGAGACAGTACATCAGATATTCATAGACATTAAGAAAGCCTATACATCAGTTATGAGGGAAGTATTTTACAATATTCCCATAGAGTTTGCAGTAGCCATGAAACTAGTTAGGCTGATTAAAATGTGTTTAACTGAAACCTACAGTAAAGCCCATATATGTAAACATGTGTCTGATAAGTTTTCTATTTAGAATGGTCTACAACAAGGATATGCTTTATCATCATTGCTTTTCAACTTTACTTTAGAATAAGCCACTAGGAAAGCCCAGGAAAACCAGGTGGGACTGAAATTAAACAAGACAGATCAGCTGCTGGTTTATGCCGATGATGTAAATCTATTGGGAATAACATAGATACCATAAAGAAAATCATAGAGACTTAAGCTGACGCTAGCAAAGAGGTTGATATAGAAATGCAGAGAGAACTAAGTATATGTTGCTGTCTTTTCACATCAATGAAGGGAAAAATCGTGATATGAAGATAGTTAACAGATCTTTTGAAAATGTGGCACAGTTCAAATATCTGGGACAACAGTAATAAATCAAAACTTGATTCAGGAGGAAATTAAGAGGAGAATGAACTTGGGTAATGCTTGCTACCACTCAGTCCAGAACCTTTCGTCTTCTCGTCTGCTGTCTAAAATCATAAAAGATAGAACATACAAAATTATAATCTTGCCTGTGGTTCTGTATCGATCTGAAACTTGATCTCTGACATTAAGGAAGGAACACATACTGAGGGTGTTTGAGGACACGGTGCTGATCAGAATATTTGGACCAAAGAGGGATGAAGTAACACGTGGTTGGAGGAAAATGCACAATGAGGATTCATAACTTGCACCCTTCGCCAAATATAATTAGAACAATCAAGTCATGGAGAATGAGATGGGCAGGGCATGGTGGAAAAGCCAGAAAGAAAGAGACCACTAGGAAGACCAAGACATAGGTGGGTGGATAATATTAAAATTGATCTTAGATATAAATGGGAAGCGTGTAAGGCTGACAACTCTGTGAGCTAACTGTCTAGAAAATGTGTGAGCCTCAACATCTCACAACTCTAGGAGCCTGTTACAAGGATAGTTCTACTTGTTAGAGAGACAGGATAGAGTGATATGGACTGGATTGATCTGGCTCAGGATAGGGACCAGTGGAGGGCTCTTGTCCACATGGTAATGAACCTTCAGGTTCCATAAAATGTTGGGAAATTCTTGAGTAGCTGCACAACTGGCGGCTTCTCAAGAAGGGCTCAACTCCATGGAGTTAGTTAACTTTTATATGTGTTTTGTTAGTTTATATGTAAGTAAACTTTAACTCCATATGTAGTGCTATAAGTTCTGCAATTGCAGTGGTTTCAATTGTGTTTTTGTATTAGAGACTTAGCTGCATAGAGGAATCTTAGAAATTACGACATGTAATTATTGTGATGTTGTTGAACGTTTCATTGGTAGGCACATTATTGTAACTTACATGTAAACACACTTGAGACTCAAAGCAAACAAATTTACACTATTACTGAAACATTCAAGGTTGTAAATTTTTCAATTCACAGCATGTAGTTTCCTCGTTTTAAGTCTCAAGTAAGTATGCCCAGAATCGGAAGGTACAGCCTGCCTCATTTCTGTTGTCAGTTACCTCTAAAACTCAATGAGCCCAAACAGGGTCTTTCTGAGCAGCTGATATAAAGAATTCCCAGCTATTAGAAAATAAGTTCATCATGTTCACAAAAGCCTGCCTTTGGATTGTCTTGAGCCAATTTAGTCCAATCCATACCTTCAACTGTAATGAAAACATGCAATTACTATTTGTGAGAGTGCACTGGAACTGACTGCCACACAAGAAGAACGCAACAGGACTTCACAGACTGTATTAACTTACTCCATGGAAGAGAGTTTTTTGGGGGGAACTGAGTCACTTCATGGTCAAGAAATATCCCACTTTGATGGAACATGAATGTGATTACTATGTTAAAAAAGCTAGTTGAATCCCATCCATAACTTCCCATCACATTTATCATATATTTTAAAACTATCCTCCCATTTACACCAAAATATTACAAGCAGTCTCTTCTCTGCAGGTTTTCCAGCTAAAATTTTGTACATATTTCTCATCTTCCACATGTATGCTACATGTTCTGCTCATTACACTCCTTAAGTTGATCTTTCTAATAATATTTAATGAATACTACCAATTACAAATTTGTCATTTTGCGATTTCTCCATCATCCTGTTACTACCTCTCTTAGGTGCAAATATTCTCTCAGCAATGTGTACTCAGAATCCTCAAGTCAGTTTTTTCCCCTTTACCATGCCATAAGAAACAACAAGCAAAGTTATATCTGTATTTCTGTATATTAATCTTTAGATTTTTGGATAGAAGATAACAAGATTCTTGTTGCTAAGTTATACTTACCACAAATGTCTTCAGAACTTTGTTGCACTTATAACTTAGTATCAATTACATCCAATGTTCTATAAAACTTATTAAAAGCTATTTGCTTTACAAGTTTTACACTACACGTTTCGACCAATGTGGTCATCATCTTGAGTTAAAAATTATGCATGAGGAAACTGCTGTGTTTTGTATCACTGCTTATGTTGTTAGTACAGAGTAGAATTTATACATGTTATAGGCATACACACACACACACACACACACACACATTGAGGGGACTACTTGGTAACAACCTAAGCAACGATACAAAACACAGCAGTTTCCTCATGCATAATTTTTAACACCTGATGATGATCACATTGGTCAAAACATATAATGTAAAATTTTTAAAGTGAATAGCTTTTAATAAGTTTTATATAACATTAGTGTTGCATGTGAGACTGTGGACCTAACTGATACAAACTGCAAATGATTTCCAGTAGCAAAGAACTGGCAGAATTATTTATTTCACTTATACTGTTAAATGCCAAGGTTATTCAGGACAGAGATGGCTGGAATTCCTGAGTAAGAAATCTTATTTTTACCATGGAAAGGATAGCTGAAGAATCAAGATACTGCTTTACCTCTACATCCTATGTATGCTTTCATGATTTGATGGTCAGGCACAGGGGCAGCTTTATCTGTATCTTACTACTCTAGTAATTCTGTTCACTTCTACATGGTCTGTGTACGTGAGGGCTGGAGGACAGTAAATTGTTCCATAGAACTGTCACATGGTACCAAAAATGATAGTCTTGGCTAGGCTGTGCCACGATTCTAATACAATTACATTACATACAGAAAATTACAATTATGAACATATAGTATCTCACATACATCTGAACAGAATTAGGTATGAAATTTTTGTTATCTTTTCATGTTAGCAATGATGCTGATAGGTGCTGTAAATATCAAACATTTGAATCAATTTATAAAATGTAAAAATAATGTACTGTAATAGAATACAAATTAAATGTGACCTAGGAGGTTTTCTTCAGAATTTTTTTGTCTCCATGAAATCAGTATGTAACTAATCTAAAATACAGGATGTGACAATTTAATTCCCACAATGACTGCACCATGTAGCTGGTGTGTTGGGTCAGGCAAACTCATGTACCCAAGCACGTTTAGACATGTTCCAACTTGTGTATACATGAGCCACAGACCATGAGTCATTTGTTCCCAAGCAAAAGAGGAAGTAGTACATGCCCATGGTATACTGTTGGCAGAGAAATAAGTGACAAGAATGAGGAGCAGCAGGTAAACATCAAGTTTTGTGTGAAGATTAGTAAAGGTGCTAGTGAAACGCCAGCCCTATTAACAGTGAATATGCTTATGGTGAATATGCTATGAAGAAATTGAGTGTTTTTGAATGGCATAGGCGGTTCAAGGAAGGTGAGAATATGTGCAAGATGAACCAGGAACTGGGCAGGCAAAAATGCAAAGGACAGATGCAAATGTGGACCGAGTAGCTCAGGCATGAGACTAATTGCAGATGAATTGAATATGAATAGGGAAATAGCACAACAGATTATTACAGAGGATCAGGGAATGAGAAGAATTTACGCAAAGATGATGCCACGAATATTGACAGATGACTAGAAACAACGTCGGCTTCATATTTCATCCGATCTTTTACACAATGCAGAGATGTTTGATAAAGTCATTACAGGAGATGAAATGTGGTGTTTTCAATACGATCCGGAAAACAAAACGCCAAAACATGCAGTGGAAAACACAGAATTCACCTCGGCCGAAGGAAGCATGCATGTCTCGCTCGCAGTTCAAGACCATACTTGTGCTCTTCTTTGATCACAAGGGGATAGCTCACTGTGAATTCATTGCACAAAGACAAATGGTAAATCAACAGTGTTATTTGGAAGTGATGACAAGGTTACGGGAATCTGCTCGAAGGAAAAGACCCAAACTTTGGTCTGATAAGTGGATTCTCCACCATGAAAATGACCCTGCGCATGAGGCCTTAAGAGTTCGCGAGTTCCTGACTTTGGTCTGATAGGTGGATTCTCCACCATGAAAATGCCCCTGAGCATGATGCCTTTAGAGTTTGCGAGTTCCTGGCTAAGAAATCCAATACAAAACTGGACCATCCACCTTATTCACCTAACTTAGCCCCCGGGCGATTTTTGTCTCTTTCCAAAATTAAAAAAATGCCCTGAAGGGACAAAGCTGTGCCGACAATCCTGACATCCAACCCAACGTGACGTTACTGTGAGGTATTCCGGAAAACAATTTGCAAGACCGTTTCCGGCAGTGGCACCACCGTCTCACGAAGAGCATAGCTTCATAAAGAGAGTGTTTCTAAAGCGACAGCAGCTGCTAGTGCATAGATAAACAAATTTTTCTTTCACAGGGCCATTCCAGGAATTAAATTGTCGCACCTCGTGGTGTGACTAAATACAAAGACACTACATATGAAGAGTTCTACTCTAACTTTCTGGGATAAAGTGTCATGTAGTCAGAAGAAAGTCACTGGTAGGTGTTTTCACCGTCCAAATCCAACATGTTTATTCTTACCTTCTATCCTATGTACACTTTTCCATAAGTTCGGTCTTACACGGTCATCCTAGGCGTCGTTCACAACTAAAATTTGCTAAAACTGTCGTACTACCACTTGAATTTAGTTGCGTGTGGAACGCGTTGTTACTTTCAACAAAAATGCTCTAAAATCCATAAAATGCTAAAACATGTGGAAAAGGCAAATACTTGAACACATCGGAAAAATACCACATCCATAACGTTACAAAAAACCTACATATAAACCAAATACACAACTACACTTATAACCTCACATTTCAAGCACTCTACGAACTCTACTCCAGACAGCAGCAGGCCCGACCTAAATGTGAACAGAAGCGGAACGACCATTACAACAATTCAACCCCGCGCACAGGAAGTGGTGCGCTTAAAGGCGGGTTGGAGTAGCATATGGCAGCCATGCTAGTTGTAGGCGGTGTTGAAAAGGAAACCCAGTGCCTTCGGGTATAACTGGGATCACTGGGATACCCTATTTATGGGGGATATAAATATGGGGACCTAGACCTCCAGGTTGGGGGAGTCTCAAATCTGAGACGGGAAAATATTGTCACGATCACACGTGAAACTCGACCCAAGAAT